TACATTGGGAAGCGATCGAGCCAGCGCTTTCAAAAATGAAACACGTATTTCCGATGCGATCCACGAGACCTTACTACATTTCGCATCAAGGATCAACATTACAGTATGGACTACAAGAGGCGACAACTTCAACCTTGGCACGCAAGTGTCCTGTGCGAGACACAAGTGATAATACAAGTTTGTGTCAGGGAAAAATAGCCATTGCCTTCAAACTTGGCACACATTCAACATGTGGTCCCGACAATTAGGTACAGATAAATTTGAAATGTATAGGTCATAATACAATTCCAAGAGAAAATAGCAGTCGCCTCCACACGCACGTGACCCGCCACATCATTTCGATTTCAGGTCAAAGGTCACCGTAATTATGTGTATGTATATTAATAATATAACTAAAAGGTAATTATGGTCATTGTTCATAAGATTTGACACACATGTCCCTCATGTGGTTCTAATACTTTATTTCAAGCTCAAGGTAACTTAAATTATATATGTTTATAATGCCTAAACTGTGGCTCCAAGTATTTATATAAGTATCTCCTCGAGTGTTTCCTAATTAACTCTTCTGCTCATGTCATTAGTCTAGTATCACGTTTAATAACAAAATTGATCAAATCCCCCAGTATATACTAAGTATTCAATTCTGGGAAACATATTTTCTCAGTACCAATTTCTATAGATAAGACTCGTAATAGACAACCAATCATAAATGAATATGCAATAATATCTAATTATCTGTATTTTCTAATTGGCTGATCATGAGCCAATTATCACTTTCATGAGAAGTTCGGTATTGCGGTATTGCGATATTTCGTAACACGCAGATCCACTTCCAGTGGATGTGAAATGCTGATCGAAGTAACACTATTTTGAAGACGTGGTTCTCTCGGCGAAGTCAGAATACTCGGCCAGTTTCACTTCGACATAGTTTCCGTTGCCTAACAGTCCGACGCATCGCTACTTGTGCTTGGTCGATAATCGCTTTTGCGATAATTTTAAAAACCGGTGTTTTAACTAAAATTCAATACTTTTCGAATACTAGTATTGTAATCTGTATTTGTATCTTCTTTTTGTGTTTGGGTGATAACCAAGAGGCGGCGTATATCAGACTTTCCACCTTAGCTAATACAGCGCAGGTTTAACTACGGTTCAACATCTGGAGTTGACGACAAAATTAAAAATTAAGTTCCTCCCTAACCGCTTAAAAGATTAGCCAAGGCTGCAGCTGGGATTCGAACCCACAGCATCAGCCACGTTACAATAACGATTGAGCTATTGTGGAATCCAATCAACGATATCGGCAAAAGGACTTTTTAGAATGGAGTTTCAATTCCTTAGTGTTCCCATTCAATTATTCATAATCAAACGAGAAAGCGTCGTTATTTAAACTAGCCTGTGTTTAGCTATATGCACGGGGTATTGCTATTTTATTAGTGCGAAAGTATGCGTTTTACAGATATTTAAAGGGCGGTTGTCGTCGCGCAGCCTGTGTTATAAAGTATTATAAACAATATAATGTAAAATGTATTTTACACGCGTTGTGTACGTCGCTATGAGTCCCATGTCAAAAAGGACGTGGGGTGAGAACCACGGTCCTTTAACCCAGATTTTGTCAGACTCTTATAAATTGGTACGCACAATTGCATATGTGTTTCCAGTCATTGCAGTAAATATCGACATACATCAATATTGCATTCGTAATGTTTTCGTAAGAGGAACTGTCAAAGAGGGATTATATAGTAAATCCTGCAAATTTATTTGTGAAAGTTAAGGTAGAGATGTAGTTTACCTGACAGGTATTTTAATTAGTTAATTAGGAAACCAAGATGATCTCCTTTGTCCACAAAACTAAATATTTTCGGAAAGCTTATTGTATGAATCTTAAAATTGTGTTAGTATTTTTTATGGACACTCTTGTTTGAAATATGCACAAAAATGTGGTTTTTTTGGGGGCAAAAGTGATTTAAAAAAATTTGCTTATAAACCATGCTTCTGTTTCCTGTCAAAATTGGTTATTATGAAGAAAGTGCCGTTATAAAATGTCTACCAGTTGTCAATTTTGCAGGGCAGCAGCTCAAATTTCACTACTTCGAGTTTATACATAAATTAACACCCAGACTAGTTGTCTGTACGATTGTTGTAACACTATTCAACCAAAAACAATGCCCCGACGGCGTTTTGAAGATAAACACATTGTCAATCATTTGTGAAAATTTCAAAACAAAAGGTCAAAGCGTCTAGGAGCTATTTTTTTAAAGTTCTGGGATGTGCACTAAAAAGAAGCTGAGATAATTGCTAATTTGCATAACAATTCACTCAGTAAGAAGTTTACTAATGCTCATAATTAAAATGGCTGTAACAGTTCCAAATTTAAATGTATTATCGTTTTGTTATATAGTGCATAATATGGAAATCCCGTCATTTCTTTTTTTTCACCATGTTTCTTTTTTTAATATTTATTTACAGCCTTGCTAAATCTTGCTAAGCATTCAAAAGAGAGAATGTTTGCACCTGTTATCTATATTTTAAAATCGTTTTTGAGTATGTTCCACTATTCACAATTCTACAAAATGTTAACAGTCTATAGCCAAGACTGTTTGGATAATAAAAAGCAAAAAAAAATGCACTCCCAAGTGCCCACGAACCTGCATCTCTACCTGCAACACCAAACGTTGCTTTCGGCAGAATTTCACATTTATTTTCAAGTACCTTACTTTTCAGACAGCGATACTTAAATTAAACTGGTGAACGTCTCTTCTCAATTCACACACACAAAACATTCACTACGCACAGCTGCACCACTGTAGAGATTGATTAATTGCTTGTAAAGTGTCTGTAACTGAATCAAATTATATTTCTTCTAACAGGCCTGCCATTTCTCATAGCTTTATCTTTGAATGTTACAGTTCATTCTGTCGCCAAAATGCTTACTAGTCTGGTCTTTAACTAACAAAAAAAGCACGACTATACCTTTTGATTACGTAAATTAATGTTGAAAATACATATTTTAATTTTCCAGAAGACGAAATAATTTCATCATATCTATAACCACTTGACTAAAACTAATGCAAATTACATTGCTTTATAGAATGTTTGATTTCTTGGTTAATGGTGGAAGGTTAAAACAAATCCGGAAATATCAAAATTCGTTAAACCTAATTAAGTGTTAAGAAAGAGAGTGGCACCATTTTAAAGTTCGAAAGACATATATGCAAATGTGACCCTCGTTCGGAAGGTTTTTACCTCATGGAATTGTTTCCGTATGACATTTTAGATCAAGAAGTGGCATAGCTGTCATTTGAAATAATCTGTGTAACAAGGTCATATTTACGTATACCACACACAGATGAGAATAAGATGAGATAATCATGATATTGAAACGGTGTAGAACATTGGCAAGAATAGAATCCCTTTAATGCTAAGTTCAGTTGAATGTATTATTGGAATTTAGTCACTGAATTAAGATTGTTATAATAAAAAAAATAAATATGCCGTACAAATGTGTACGGTTATTCTATATATTTTATCCAAAGACACCAGAGAATATAATTCTTCAACAGGTAACTGTGGTCGTGTCTTCGACGTGCATGATTACATTCGAGTATTCCAATTTACAACGCACACTACCAATAAAATGTAATGAAATAATAATATTTAATAATATAATTTTATTTTCTAATAATTGTCATGCAATAAATATATACAATTTACATCTTAATGGCTTAAATGTAATAAATGACGTCACTGATGATAAAAGTAGCATCGTCCATCTTTTTCATCTTAATGACTTAAATGTAATAAATGACGTCACTGGTGATAAAAGTAGCATCGTTCATCTTTTTTTCGTCAAACCATTTGCTTCGTATATTAATCACTCTCGATAATAATTGGTAACCTAGGAGATGAGTGAAAGATTATTTCGGAGAAATAAGAGTTGGGAAACTATACGGCGTCGCCAGGTTTATTTATAATTGTGCCGGGCTCTTAAAAACCATGTAGGCATGGTACAATTAGGATCAAAATAATGATGAAAATAATCGTGGAAGTTATAATAAGTCCAGAATAGATCAGTTTTGATAATTTTCTAATAACAACCCGGCAATCAGTTTGGTACAAATTATTGCTGAGTATCGTATAATATGTCTAGAATTAGTATTCGGAATTGTATTAACTCGAATAATTCTGTTAGTTTCAGATGTCGACTAAATGCATTTGTGATATAAATCAGTGTATATGTGAGACGTAATTTCAAAACCGTGAACATCAATGCCTTTCTCCTTTGTCTCAAGGCAATTTTATACGGATTGTGAAATTGCCATTAAATGTTTGAATAAATGGTAGAAATATGATTATGAACCACAATAAATAAAAACACCAGTAGTTCAAAACAATTGCAATTTATTTTAATGTACCCTGTACAGTATATGATAAAAACTTCATTGACTGGATACGGCTTTTGCGGTCCTCTGTCGTACGACTAACGCAATCTCGTGCATCCGCTGTACAACTTCAGGCCACGTCTGTATCTAGCCCATGAAGATTATTGGAAGCTTTCAAATGGATATAAGGGATAGACAGGATATCAAACTGGTGACACTGTAATATCCGATTTACTAAATTTGTGTAGTAATTTTCATTTGCTCCGTGTCGAAGACCTTACTCATGAATGTCTCATAAGTAGCGTCATTCATGGTATATTCTCTATACATACATTAAGTCACGATCATGTGATGACACCATATCATATGTTCCCCATTCAATTCCGAGACACTGCATGCTTGCATTAATGTAACGTGTATTTCTTCGAAATGCGATCATGCCACTTATGATTTGTCAATGCTTCGAATATGACAGCACATTGTGCGACGTAACATCCTCTATAATAAACTAGTTTCGGGTTTCAAGTGTGCCTGGTATTCTGTTCAAATGGCATAGCAGATTGTAGCCTCGTTCACGTCACGCATAGTCGCCAGCCCGTGTATTTCACCAAGCCATTACAAATTCAAGTGACACTAAAACCCGCAATTAGCCTGTTTATCGTTGCTTCTGTCATTCAAACAGATGTTAAAGGAAACATCAAGCCAAACAACATAATGAAGAAAAAAGCTCCACAAATGTAGGAGAATGCAATTTACAGTTTTTTATATCACTTTTCATTCTCTAGATATTCAACTTTATGTCAGTATTATATAGTCAGCAATCTTGATTCTCAAGCAAAGGATTATGGGTAAAGTATGACATCATAGAATCTGTTGTCAGAAATTGGAATAATTATTTCATCTATAACATGAGAAATAGTGATGCGAATTAGTTCAAATTTTAGTTGTGCATATTACTCATGTATATTGGAAATTAGAATATTACAAATACACATAAAGTGAAGATATTGCTAAAAACGTTGGAAAAATAAAAATCGATACTTTTGTCGTAAAATATAGGATGACACTTTTTTGTCCCTTTTTGTGGCCAACATGTAATATATCACCTATATATTAACCTACTCACATTGGTAAATTGTATACAAATTTAAGCATTTGCTAGAAAAACATAAAAATACATTTTCAGTTATGTCTCCTTGACAACTATTTTATAAACATGGATGGCACCAGCACATGTATGCTATCAATTTCTAAATTTTCAGCCAATTTGATGTTCAACTTTTGAAGTAATAGATGATATCATTTTCTCAATATCTAGAGAATGAAACGTGATATAAAAAACTGCAAATTGCATTCTCCTACATCTGTGGAGATTTTTCTTTAGAGGTCATTATGTTGTTTGGATTAATGTTTCCTTTAACTGTATTACATACAAGATGCAATAGACTATGGTATGCTTACATATTGGACAGTAGTGGAGCACCTTCGTTGTCCGTTTTATCTACATTCATTTTAACCGCCTCAGCTCCGTCATCTGAGTCATCGTCTGAGTTTAGAGCCTCGTTCGCAAACGTTTCTTTCAATCGTAATTCCTCCGAGCTGTTCCAAATACCATACCCAAAATATATACAGAAACCTGAAACGTACGACCATAAACGCTGTACTCGGTTATGAAGAGGTGATTGGATAATCAGCTTTACGAATAGTAGTGTGTTATTTCGGGGGATAAATTGTATTTCGATGAATCTACGTCTACGAATATTGACCTAATTTACGCCAATTATACAACATGCATTCAGTAAGTAAATATAGTTATGGCACAAACAGTGACGCCGTATGTTTTGTTTTTCGCCGTTTGTTTTAAGCAATAAACCATCGACGGCATGTTATGTTGAGATATACAACTCCCTTCATTGAATACTTGTAAGATACTTAGCAGTTTGTTCAGAGAGAGAGTGCGAGTCATGTGATGTGTCACTATTCAGTCCCAAATAACTTACCGATTGACATCCATATTGAAAATCGGATCCACGTTGCATATGACAGTTTTAACATCAGGTAAATATTAATAAACATACTGATTATAGGTAGCAATGGTACTGCAGGGGCCTGCAATGTATAAGGTACAATCTATGTTATCAACTTTAAACATATTTAAACTATGGTGACCCTGTCTCTTGTTATATAATATTATTTCATTTATCATAGTTTGTTTTAATAAGAATACGCACTGTCATAATTAATTTTAAATACAAACAAGTTTTAGGATTAAAACAGCAGAGGGGAAAACAGTCTACCAAAAATCCTTGATTAATGTAAACATTGGTGTTTAATTTGTCTATAATTAGTTTAAGGGACATAATTTCCTGTTGGTTTGACAGAATGAACATTTGTGGTTGTATGTAATGTTTTATTCATTCATAGAATATATTGAGAACAGAATGTCTATACCGGATGCAAAATATCTGTCTGCGAAGGAGGTGTTATTCACAATGAGGCAGAATATAATGCTTGTCGCATATCAGGGGCAACAAATATGTTAAGGCGCAGTGGTCGTCGCGCTACGCATGTGCCGCATTTGTGTTGATAAACACTGGTTTTCCCACAATCCAATGCGCTCTTCAAATGAAAATCACAAGTATGAGGTTTGACTTATGCGCGACTTGCACTGATTACCGCCGGTGACTCCTTCGATACCTTCCAATCAATCGAAAATTACCTAATTAAAGCTTGGAAACGTCTCACTTCCTACTCATTTGTACACAAGTCAAAGTCGCCATCTTTGTTTATATGAGACCCATATATATCGCGCATGCGTGGCGCAATGACTACCATCTAAGGGGCTATAATTAATATTGAGAGCAGAATGATAGTTTCCGAGGAAGATGATATTCACTACATATATTGGGAGCATAAAATTAGCAGATCTCTTTTGTTATGAGTATAATACGGGTACAATAACGTATTGCAAGGGGATACAATTCATGGCACTTATTGTGGGCATAATATTAGTTGGGTGGGAATAATTCACGGACATATACTGAACTCAGAATATCTTTATGTGATGGAGTATAATGCATAATTCATCTTGGGCCCAACCCTGTTGGTTGCATTCCAATATGTCATATATTCTGCTCCTAATATGTGCCCTGAAATACCCCCTCCCTCAAAGCAATATTTAGTCTTCAATGTGAGCCCTAACTTATACACTTGGACAATATAGGTGACAAATGGTGGAGTTTGTATTAACACCTGTATAACGACATTTTGATAACGTGAGGCCAAATTTTGTCAAACCAACCTTCTTGTATCATACCTATGAAATCCGATTTATTCCGAAATATTCATTCTAAAATGCTCAAAAGTATCCAATGGAATTTCAGCGCAATGTATGAAATGTCAAATGTCATGAATAATCTGTTATGTAAAATTAGAAAATGCAACTAAGTCTGTATATACATAATTTTCCCGTCAATGTATGCGTTACTCTTAGTTCGCACAGAATCGTGCTCGCTTGTATGCAACATGGCAAGTCCAAACTCAGTAAAATAAAACGTATTGTACGTATTGTCATTATGTAAATTGTAAATTAAGTAAGTAAATTGTTGTACATTAATTAATTAATTGATGAATTATGTAAAAGCACGCGTGTATTTATGAATTATGCATACACACCGAACGTAATATTTGTGGTTGTCATAAATCACATTACCATGTTTATCGGTTTATTGCGTGCAGTTATACAGTTGCCTGGCAACATAGAACAACATTCTCTCGTGCGTTTCATTGCCATATTTTTAGTATTTTAAAATAAATTATTATGTTTTGAACAATTCCAACACTGTTGCATTTTTGTCACATATTAAAACATGGATTTTAGAAATAACTTATGATACCCCATTAGTCACGATATATGATTACGTCATTCCATGACACCAGCTTACAATTGAAAGAAATCATTATATCTTCGTCATAGAAACTAATTGTAAACGTGTTGACAAAATGATCTCCATTACTAATTTTAAAATACAAACATCACTTTCTCAAAAAATAGGTTCGTGATCTCAGTTCTATTTAAGTCAATATCCTTATCGATCGAGCGTGCAATTATAAAAATGAATGCGCTAAGTGGATTAATAAAAAGAGATTAATTAGGTTGCGCTGCACACATTGAATATTAACGCCTCTGGCATCATCGTGATTTTCATTGAGTGTGTTTATTGCGATAATTGTTATATCGCTGTTGGGCAACTCTAAAAGATGGCGTTTGTAAAGCTACCTCGTGGATTGGTTAAAAAGAGTGCTAATTTAAACTAGGAAGTACATGTAATTGGTGCAAAACATTAAAATGACCTTCAGAAATAGATAAACTGCATGTGTAACCCTTCTCCCGCTTTCCACGAGATTTTCCAGGCATTATGACGCTTTATAATAGTGTAAAATGCCGACATTTGCACCCTCCATCGAAGTTTAACGTGGTTTCCGATAAGAAATGCCCATATGTTGGTGCGCTTAACATTTACTTACGAAATTCTAGATTCTTATTTACAACATTTTTTGGAATACGCATGTGGTCATTGGCTGCTCCCAAAATTGGGGAGGGGGTCACTGTGTCTTTTAGAAGTATAGTGTTGATTTTGGTTTGCTTTACGTTAACAAACCAAGTTTTAACATAACGCTTTAATTCTGTGTCAGAGTAACTGTCATCGCTAAATGGCGATACCTGAGAGCATGTTGCATAGATTAATTAGTCAAATAAAAAAAAAAACATTATATAAAAAATAATTACCTTAAATGTCAAACCTCTTGTATTTTGTGGCTGTTTCGATATCGCATATAGACTTACAAGTATGCATATACCGAGGGTAATAGCTAGTATTATTGCCCACCATTCCCCGTGCGCTAAATTCGACTCGGCGAAAATCATAACTGAACAAAACATGAATATTAGGGCCCCTGGAACATAAAGAAAAAATAAATTTAAGATTATACACTTGATAATGAACACCGACATGGTTAACAGGCGTTTGTAAGAGGGTTTAACCACGTGTTTGATCAAGTACTTGTTTTGCATTCCCCACGATAAACACAGCGTTGTTGCATCGTTTCGCGGTTTTATGTTTATACATGATATCACCGCGGCAAGGATACCTATTTCCCGGAGTTGTTTATATTATTTATATCATAATGATTAATACGTCTTCGTTATTGATACATAATTCTACGTAATATGATATCGCTTGCTATGCCATTATTATTGTTTATTTTGAATCTTACAGGTTAGAAAACGGAAATAACGACGCAATCGATATGGGCCAAATCCAACAAATTGAAAATAGTACTCAGTATTCAGAAGAGATGCCAACCTACGCTAACCATCTAATATAAACACTCGTAGCCATAGTTTAGGCCTTACTCTGACCTTAAACATTATTGGGGTCACAAAACAAAACATACACACCGCACTGAACGCAGATAAATGCTCCATTGAGTATGACGCCAGTAAGGCAAAAGTCACGTGGCCACGAACTATGTTAATCGTCTTTACTGCGTTGTTTACTTACCGAGTATAGACGTTGCATACGTGACAATTGATGACGATAATTCTGACGGAGTTGAAGTATTGGAGGCAAAACATTGCCCGAGCACGTCAAGAAGTGTGGGCGTCGTATCGGGTCCCGGGTGATGTAAATGAGAGAGGGTTGGTTTACCAGTATCACATTCATATCTATAAATAAGCAATATATTATGTATTCATCAAAATCAAATGTGATTTTCTCCATTTTTTATCTAAAATTTGTCAGAAGTTTATCATCATTTTATAAGGTGAAGATATTATTGACATTGAGTCGATGAAATCAAAAAGTGCAGTGCGTCATATATTAGGAACACAAAGACACACGTGTGAACTAATAATAAAACCCAATTTAAAGGGCGGCAGTCGTTGTGCCGCGTCCTGTTCGATATGGGACTAATAGCGACGTATACAACGCGTGTAAAATACATTGTTTATTTATATGAAATTCGAACACGCGCTGCGCGACTTGTAAAGTACAAATAGACAGGTAGCTGAGAGCATGTAAACATCACCTAAACAGTTAGCTCAATATTTCAAGTTGTAATCAGCACATAGACACAGTTAGATTTGAACATATAAATGCCACCTAGACAGCTAGTTATGTACATGTAAACATCACCTAGACAGCTCCTATGGTCTTGTATAAGCAGTACATAGCTGCCAATGCACTATGTACTTTGAAACATCGTTAGGACAGCTTGAAGTTTGTTATTTTTCTGGCTAATTTAACTAAAGATTGGTTTTGCTCAGTATTATATGAAAATAAAAATACGAACAAACCGTCTAATATAATTATTTTTAAACGATTAACCATTGAATAGTTGTGCTCAGCGATGTCACCGCACACTGGGTGACGTCAAACTAGTATTACTGAGATTTTCCTTACCTTAAAATTAAAACGCACACTGATACTATGGTATACGCTAAAAGTGTTCCTATTGACATCATGTCTACTAACTGTTTAATTTCAAAAAACAGAGCCATTAACCCTGTTAACAAAAACAATAGATTAAAAACGCTATAATCAGAGGAACATTTCATACAAAAGAAAAGAGTTCGCGTACTACAATACACATGCATAAATAAATTGTAACATTTCCTTAAAGTGACAACGGTGTATTGCGTATACAGAGAATGTCTCAACTGTGTAGCCTTTCCAATGCCCAAGTGATCCCGTGACGTCATACTGACGTAGGTAGACAAACGAAGTATCATATGAGACAATTTTATTTCATTGTTAAAGTAAAAATTTCTAAAATAAATACCATAGAACAAAATAATGAATAATATAATAAAAACGTGGTAATCTGATTGGCAAATGCACAAAGATCAAATGTTCACACCCTGACTACCTATAACAATAAATGCCAATGTTGGTGGTTCGAGCAATATTTTTTGAATTACTGTTAAAATTATATCAATAGACTATTTCCGGTCGTTTCTAACATAGATATAAGTTGCATATATGTGAGACCTCATTTCAAGTTGTAAAAACGTCAACTCATTCGCACACAAACATTTTTTTTTCATCCATGACTGGATTATGATAGGGTCAGGGTGTGAATTGACGCAAGATTAGTAACTATGTTACCAATGCATCACGAAACCGTTAATGTATTGGTGATCCCACAAATAACTATATTCGTGACGCTCCACGATGTATTGAAAATGCGCTCACAAATGACGACTACTATATTTTAGTTTCTAGTCTTTAAAGCTGCGTGGAAACGGATATAAAATACAGACAGGACATCAAATTCGTGACACTGCATTATCAAATTTATAATTAAACTGTATTAAATTTCATTTGTTCATAGCCTTTGGCCTATACGTCACTCGCTTAATACAATTGTAGGCTCACTCACTCTATTAGTTACAAATGGCGGATGTAATGACGAAATTGGACAACACGTCACGTGACACTGAAAATATTGCTTCAAATTAGCAGCAGCAAAAAAAGCACTAATGTATTACGGCCTAAATTAACCACCTTTTCAGTCACATATTCGTGATGCGGACTCATTTTGAGCAAAATAGGCCACAAGTTTGACCCATGAGCATTGATAATGTTTTTATTTCGGTACACGATGCCCGTCTACATTACTTACCCGCAAATATTCCAGACACGGCTGTTGCTACTAGAGGTGTTCTATAATTGTCATCTACGCGAGAAAAATACCTAAACACTAAACCATCGTTGGCCATTGCGTAAATCACACGTGGCAGAGGCAGCATTGAACCCAGCAAACTGGAAACAAATATTGTAATAGGTACATAACAAATTTACTAAAGTTAGTTGATGGTGACTTTTGTTCACCGGGGAGGGCGGGGTATAGCCTGATTGACCGGTACACCGATGGTTACCTTCTTATCACCAGAATCTGAAATTCAAACCTTGCGACTTGATAATAGTTAAACACTATTTAAAAGTTTACAGTGAAGTACATTTTTTACTTGGAATTTGGAATTGGAATTAATTCCAGGTAAATTAAAAAAAATACAGTAATATGAATCTACGTATTTATCAGAATATTCGCTTTTTACGTGTTGAAAATTGAAATACTGTTTTATTAAAACTTTAGAAATGAGAAAAACATGAATTATTCTTGCCAAATCCCAACATTGTTTCTCAAACAATTTCGCCATGCTGATTGGAGAATCGTATTTATTGTATGTACTGTCGCTATTATCAATGACAAATATTGGTTACATATAATATAATCATATTTTAACGTTATTATAATGTAACTTCAGAATATGTAATACGTACCTCGTTGATAGGCCACATACAGCTCCAATTGTAACGATATACCTTGCCCATTCCCAGCCGATATACTGAAATGCGTGCGGTATGGGCGCACCGCTGTCAAGTTCGTAGTAAGGCACCAATAACGTCAGAGCTGATGAGACTCCAAAGTACGAGAGAAAGACGAACGTCAGGGACAACAGGATACTGACGGGTATGGCTTGTTGAGGATTCTTTACTTCTTCGCCTATTAAGGCAAATAATACGTAAATATGTGAGGTGAAGAAAGCGATATTCAAAGTTATGTATGCGTAGTAACTTTCGGGGTTGGTAAACGCACGGTACGACACCGAACGACGGTGCAGTTGTCAATTTCTCAGTGTACATAATCATGCAATTGTTTACCAAATCCTGATGTGATAGACACACGTTTCGAGAATTATGTCTCGAACGAGGATGAACACAAATGGGAGATTTGATAACGTACACGCTTTGGGGGATTAAGATATATGTCAAATAATAATGGCGTCGTATTACCTGTAGTAGCTATTGCATCAAATCCAACAAACGCATAAAAACATGTAGCTGCTCCGGACATTGTCCCCGAAAATCCAAACGGGAAGAAGCCTCCATCCCCCTGTGTCTCGGGGTCAGGGATGTCTTCTACTTGGATGTCCCAGTAGTAGAAATTAGCTTTTAATACCGCGGTAACCAAGATAAACAACACCACAACCATATTAATGGATGTAAATACGTTATTGAATCGAGATGATTCCTTGACACCGACCATCAGTATAGCTGTGGTGAAAGAAAAAAAAATACGCTGAAAAATACACTATGTCAGTCCGCCTCCACAATCATTTTCTCCACGAAATGTAATGGCCCACTAGCATCTGACGAAAGGTATCAGTACGTATACCACAGTAAATGTATCATCAAAGTAAAAAAAAATGTTCAATTGATCTAAATTGAAATTCATACACAATACCATCTTGATTAGAAGTTCAGGCGCCAGGGTACTACCCTATTTAAATTAATTTTCAACATTAGACCGGGTGTAACCCTAACCTGACATGTACTGTAAAATGACTAATTTTCACTGGGTTTAAATTTCACTGATTTACCATTTCAGGCACATTCAATGGGTTTTAAATTCACGGTTTCGTCATTTAGATAATGTGTTCTATGCTAAATTTTATATATTCACTGGGTTTTAATTTAGCGCATTTCTCCAGTCAGTGAAATAAGCTAAATTAAAACCCAGTGAATAATTACCCCCTTTACAGTATTCGTGAGTGGCGCCCTCGCCGGCCGAACGGCATTAGACGCAACTCACCCTTCTTTGTAAGACTAGGTGCAAACATTTGCCGATTTGTAGATAACATTTCCAATTCAGAACGCCTCGGAAATGAAAGGGCAATAGGTGATTTTCCGTACAACTGCGAGATCTCGCGAGATGCATGAAAGACGCGCGTCGAACGTCTGCCGCAAAAATCGAACGATTTGATTTTGAATTAGAATTTCTTTATTTCGCAGCTTACATTGACCGGCCGATCTTCGACAGAGGAATATTGCTTCCGAATACCCTCACTTAATCGAAATTGCCTATCATCAAATGTGGACAGCACATTATTAAGCTTGGAAATGTCCCCGAAATACTTTCGCGTTTGTCGAATCCCACGCGATGTTTGACGCGACTACGACGCTATGACCTTTGTTTGTCCTGTTTTTACGTTCGATTTCACTCATAACGCGTGATTCTCGCAGTGAACGTAAAATGGTCTGTTAAATTACCGAAGTATTGAAATCAATTGTATTCAAGTCACTAGACGAAAACTATCACGCTTAAACCAAATGGGAGTTCTTCTTCTGTTTCCCGTGCTACAAATTTGAAAAAAAAAAAAAAAAAAAAAAAAAAAAAAAAAAAACAGAATTTGGCTCGATCAGAAATTGATAGTACTCGTTAATTAGAATTCTGTATATACTTGTTTAAACTAAATATCAATACCGGCCCTCCCTACCGTATAGACTTGTTTGTGTGAAAACGCATTCATAGATTGGATACCTCTGTAAACCGTGTGACGTAACGTTGGTGTTCAGTTTTATAGTAAGAATCAATGTATTTCAAAAAAACAATACAATTTATATTATATGCTAAAAAATAGTCAATGGGATACATTATTTGGCTTGTACATTTTTGTCGACTGTAATACTATTTGCCAAATAATAAAAAAAAAACATAAAACTGAAACATTAAAGCGGGAGGGTCGTCACCTGCGCACGCGCGGGGGTTCCAAGCGACGATAACAACACACGCTAAGAACACAAAGGCTCGTGGGTAGACGCTTGTTTTAAAAACAATGACACGCTATGGCCACCTGACGCATGCGTAGGTGACTACTCCCTCGCTTTAATAATACCTGTCACACTGAGTACGATGACAAATGCCAAGAAGTCTGGGTAGGCAGCGATACCAGGCATATTCATTGGTATGTATTTCATAGAAAAGTTCTCCAGATTTTCCCCGAGCATTGAATCAAAATAACCACTCCATCCCCTGGCAACGCTTGCTGATCCTGTTAATATATAAGGAAAATGTAAGTTATAAGGAAGTTAATCTAACAAATGAGAGATGATTCTCAAACAATAGAACGTACTAGAATTGATTTCTTATACTGTTTGAATCAGATTATATGTATTCCATATTCATGCGGCACAATCTAGAGCGTATTCACAAACACGCACACAAATGACTATTTGAGTAGTTTAAGGAGTTTACGTTTATCGGATGATAAAGACCGTTATCCAATATGACAGATTAGAAGTCTTGCATAATGTCTCAAATTTAAGAAAACAATGCGTTTAATAAGGTTCGAAACTATGACGAAAAGCGGTACTGAAATCAGTATGCCGTGTGCATGTTTTGTATATGCAAATTATTTATCAACATATTTTGTCATGCAGCCGTAATCTCTAATTAACATTTAATATCTCTAATTTAAACAGAGACCTTGACCAATGAATCTCTCCTAGTAAAGAATATGTACATACACCATGACGGAAGTATGCTATACTCTCATTGGTACACAAAAGACACGTGATATAATGGTCGCCATACCTATGACATATTCCAATATCATGTTCCAGCCAATAACAAAGCCCCACAGTTCACCAACAGTGACATAAGCGTATACGTAGGCCGAGCCAGCGCGAGGAACCCGAGCACCAAACTCAGCATAGCAAAGACCTGCGTGTAAAAAAAAAACAATAGATAGTCATTAAACAAGTGTAAGTTATTTGCGGCTGAATGCAAGTCTTCGTCGTAATTTTAGATGCGTCAAGACCCATTGCGTGGATGAGTCACATGATCGGGAAGATGTGGCGGTGGGTCACGGTTTAGGAACCAGTGTACGTGTTACGATCAACATACGTAATGGCGCACACACTGTAGATCCTCTATCATTTAACCTTCATGTAGGGACCACGGGGTATTTATTCACAGAATCACGGGTGTGAAAACAAAGCTCACGGTCCTTTTGGATGAATATTCACATTATGTGCAAACAACATTTAGACAGCGGCAAAATGATGTATTGGTCGACCAAAAACAGTAATTTTCATGCTATTTAATATACAGATGGACATAAACAATCCTCAATTACCAACAAACACATTTTAGGGCAACATCTGATTTGATCAGAAAATATATAGAAGATTTGTTAGGGTCACGTACTGGCAATGGTTCTATTCTTGTAATGTTGATATAACTAATAGTTAATTGAAATAGTTGAGAGCAAGATTAAACATAAATTGGAAAAATTGGATTTCAGAATACGGAAATATCAGTGAAAACAATTAAATGCTATTTTTGAAATAGTGAAAAATTGAACAAAACTCGGACAACAAATAGAATTAAATTTTAATTACGCCTTTTGAGAAAATTTGCATAATCATGCCCAATCATTGTACAAGATTATTACTGTATTTGAGAGAATATGTTATATTGCTATTAATCACTGACCTTATGCAAATAGAACTGAGTAGGGTGAGCGCCCTCTCGTGACGGGTTTGAAGCGCCAGGGGGCGCAAAGTACTCTCCAAACGTCTTACCTGAAAGGACTGAAGCAATCCCCGCTATCAAAAATGAAAGAACAACTGATGGGCCGGCGACTTCTTTGCCTACTTGTCCGGCGATTACATAGAGACCGGTTCCTAGTGTCCCTCCGATGCCCAACGCAGTCAGATCGATAGTGTCCAGACAACGCTTCAGATTACTCTCTTCGATGTAAGCAAAATCTATATATTTCTTACGTAACAGGCGCTGTTTAAATCTATGGCATATCGTCATGGTTTAAGTTCAGTATCACAACATTATTTATCTGAAATCAAAAAAATATCAATTAAATTTTTCACTTACATTCCCGTTGTACGGTGGCCTCAAGAACACAATATAGACACTCAAATACGCCACATTGTTCTGTGCTGTGAAGACGTACCCTTTCTTGTTGAACGGCGATTGCATTTGTTTGTTTGTTTGTTTGCTTTTTGGCCACGGTAATGTGTACCTTTTGGAGAACGCACGGAGATTACAGGATGCATATTGTATCGTACGCGTTACGAGCACAATGATTTTGAAATTGATGTACAACGATCGTATTTATGATGGTTAATTTTTAAAAAAATATGTCACCGTGTGTATAATACAAACTACTTTCGATTTTATATTTTTATTCCCGGGCCGAGTTACATCACAGAAAAACGCACTATGTTGCTACGACGAGCACCACTGTACCATGTGAATCTGTGAGCTATGCGCCAGCTGCTGTTGCCGGTCGAAAAAGCCGGTGAAACCAGCTAAAATCGAAGAAACAGCATAAATTCAACTCTGAAGGAATCCTGAACAACCAAATTTATATATGTTTCACATGTAGGGGTATCCTAATTGCACTGTTCATGGCAGTCTCAACAACTACCCTAAAATACCGGTACAGTAGAGTAAACGGCCTTTGTTTTTACTGTGATGGTTGCCAGGCGATGAAAATGCCCGAATATCCGCCCGAAAATAGTTGTTTACTAGTCATAGGAACGACCGAATAATTTCTGTATTCTCAGTACTGCTCTGTGTCTACCAATCCATGTTAGAGTGCCACCATCGTTGCACCTGCACCGCTATACGAGTTACAAGCTACGTATACAACGCGTGTATTATATAATAATCAATTTATATCAATTTTAATTTTCTAAAATATTCTTTGATATGTTAAAACATTGTTTCATATTCTAGTTCATGATGTTTTTGACTAAATAAATGAAACATACACAAACAAGACCAGATCAGAAATTCGATTAAACCACAAATCTGGAATGATTAGGTTAAAAATAGGAATCAACGCCAGGTTATCGTTGTTTACCGCATGAGCACATTCTCTTTCATTTAATTTGATATAAACAAGATTCATGGCGCGCCCCCAAAACGTCTAAATCCATACACCCCCGCCCCCCGTACATTCTACATCCTACATTCCTGATCTATGGAAGTGTTCAACCAAATGTTAATTGATATCCGCTTTGGGAACGGGTCCATGGATAGGCCCACGTCACCTCAATATTGATTTTCTACTATAATTCAAAAATATTTTAAGTTCGTGTTTCCTATTCAATCTCCATATGAACATAGAAGATACAGTTAGAGTTGTTAACCCACGAGTGAAACAATATTTACAAAACGTGCGTGAGTTTAATAACTCTGAAAACGTACAGTCGACGACACGATTTTGATGTCCTGTTTATCTTCAGTTCTGTATCCGTATCCGATGTGAGCACAAAACTAACATCGGAATCCAATTTTGAACAGCGTTTCATAGATGATCTTCGCTGTTCAATGATGAAAATTTACACTTTGTGTATTAACAGTTTACTCAGTTGACCGTCGCTTGACAATTGTCAACTCATCTCTAAACCATGCAAATAATGCCACGTTAATGATGACATACGAGACAATAGGTAAATGGAATGAGGAATTGGTAAAATTACACTCGTCCTAAACGCCTGAACCACTCATCTGTTTTCGTGATTACAGAGGTGAAGAAACAAAAAAATGTTCTGCGACGATTTACTTCCAGGTTCGCTGGTAATCGGCTAATATTTTCTCTGTTCTGTATGGTTATATTCAAGCGATGTTAGTTTATCAAAAAGGTCATGATATCACTAACGCATCGAGGTGTTCCTCATGAAATCATAATTTTGGTGTAGTAACTTGCCCATTTTTAATGATGTACACGGGTCTGTTGGGTGTTTTATTTCGTTACATGAGACTCATATTCACCGGCTTTGAAACCGTCGATTCGGACCATGCAAGCGATTGTGGCCAATGTTAATCGGAAAATATAGAAAACATATAGACACGAATTACAAATTCAAACGTTGCTATAAAACGCGATCGAACGAGTTACGTATCTCGTGTCCCCCTAGCTACTAGAATACCTGTTCTATGATCATGACGAACCAACTTCTCTCATTATGTAAAAGGAGAACCTTCGTTTTAGTGTGGGAACCGTCATTTGATTTGATTTGATTTGATTTGATATCAATGCTGAATCAATATTCATGTCATGGATGCACGGATGTGCGAAAATGTCACAGCTGTCACATATGCTGCGACAGTTACTCCATTAACTTAATCACTGTTTGTGGTGTATATAGGAATTTTATTATTGAAAAGGTCGATTGAATATTCAACAATGTTTGTTTGTTTTTGTCGTTGTTACAGATGAAAAGATAGGGGAGAAGGTAATTACTCGGGTCTGACAACTGTCCAAATTATATACTGTATATATAAATGATTCAGTGAAAATAAAATCCAGTGAATATACAGTTATTCCCATATTTTTACATTCAACTCATCAAAAATCAGCGAAAATTAATTCCATACAAAACACCAAAAAGGTCTATTCAGCGAAAATTAATTCCAGCTAAAATAAAGTATTTCACAGTACCACTTTACTGCGCCAAATGATTGATGGGATATTAATACTTCTGGTTATAGTAAAGCGCAGATGAAATCAAATTTGTCTTGAAAAAATGTGATGACCAACATTAAATTAATTACGTCACGAAATCTGTTGCGACGTAATAAAGCAATTATATGGTACTAACCAATCAGCGTATAAAATCATATGCGATCACGTGATATACCAGTAGAGAGGGTAAGTGAAGAGAGCACTAATACTAATTTGATTGTTATGTTCGTACCGCTGTATTTCACAAATCGCTTTAAAACTACAGAATTTTTCTCGCGAAAGATGAAGCAGATGGTGAAACTGGTTTGTAATATTTTTATGCAAACAGACGAGGGCGAAGAAGATGTGTCGCGTAATAAACAGCGCGAACTGTCACGGAAATGGTGAATCCGTTGTAGAAATCCTCGCGTTTTGCGGTGTCATTTTGGGAGATACTTTCCTCTCAAAGAATCGATATTGACAACAGGACCGGACAGAATGCAGTCACAAACCGTACTTATTGCACACACGTGTGGCTTAGTGTTTAGCTTGCCCGTGCAGTATGACGCGATATCTCGAGTTCGAACGTGACTGCCAATTAGGAATCGTACATACTGTCAGACACACAGTGGCGGATTCAGACGGGGGCAGGGGGGCCACCAACCCCCCAAACGCATGACGATTCATATCATCTGTATTACGCATAGCTTCTCTGCAATTTACGCTCCGTATATCTTAAGCGAGGCTTGGACAAAAATACATTTTGCTGGATCCGCCACTGCAGACACATGACATTCAGATTTGGAAAAACGATGAAATACTCAGGCGGGCGGCCTGTTCTACTTAGTCATCAGTGCAAGTGCAAATTACAGTGTCATTGCTACGAGTAGCGAATTTCGTGATAGCTGGCACTTTCTGTACGATAACCTTATGTGTATATATATTTAGTTTACCTAGTAATAAATTGCCTTTAAATGTGAACTTGACTGATTCGATCATGAAATTTGTATTGCATCAAATACTTTGTATACATATATATCTAGTGGTGAATTATCATGGAAACCTGAAATTTCGCAAATTGTGTTTTTGTATATAGAGGTCTGAACGAATTGTACCTGACACCCCTATGACCAAAATGGTTTGGTCACATTGACAACACAAAATGACTACGCTGTCACGGTAGTCACTGATTCTGCGTGCGATGAATACAACATCTTAGAGCATATTGGTGATTGTCTGATATCATTTTTGTTCATAGTGTTTTATTAAGCTGTACATCCGTTAATAAGATGCTAAATGTTTGGGTTTAAAATTTGCTTATGACCTGAGAAACATCACAAATTGCGCTGTAATTTTAACAATTCGCGTGTAAGCAAGTCTGGTTCAATATGTTCGTTAATATCGCTTATCAACAGGTGGTAACATATGGTGTATACCACACCGTCACACAGCATTGATTTTTTTAAAAATATTATCAAAAACAGGAAACCACGATTATTGTGAACAATTTTTTCACCACGATACAAAAATAGTAAAAATGTGACGCAATTAATGCATGATGACGTCACAAACTGTATCATTTTTCCATTGATATCGACACATCCGGTGTTTGCACCTTGAACATGTTACAAATTAGTGAACGTTGTATTCACTATAACTCGCTTTTATCATACCGCACACAGTGCTGGTTATTTGCATTCCGAGACTTGTCTTCATATCGACGGGACGCATTGGCGGTGAGTCGTACGTATCGTATCGTTGCAATAGGCCTGAAACGAACCTTGGAACTAAATTATTCGGGGATGGCCGCGAAAAACGAATCATAACGGCAAGATGTCACAATTGTGATTATAATTAGGAATATATTAGAAATGTCAATGATATAAACTGAAATTCACATGTACTTTATTATTACGTACGTGTTGACTAACACATGATAATATCTTCACTGTGGTTTGGAAATGGGTGCCCCGATTAGTATGACCATGTTTCACGTGCGTGGTCCCATATCAAACAATGACGAGATGTGACGACCACCGCCCTTTGAAGACCTCGTCTTTGTGGGTTCCAGCATGCGACGTATACAATGCATGAAAAATACGTGATTTATTTACACGTCCTTTAAAATGGTTTGCATAAACGAATCAGTGTGAGCTGTGTGTGCCTGGCCTCCACTAAATTTCAGACCTTTTTCGTGGTCCGAGATCAAACTAAAGATTGCCAGTATAAAAGGCAGAAATTGACACGTCAATAAAAACCTGTAAACAAAGAGGCTGATATCTGATCGATTGGTGGGTATTAGGTTTGGGTAGCTTATCAGGCACAGTCTTGAAATTGACTCAAGTTTGTTGTTCACTTTGGTGTTGCGTTTCCCTAAAGCTAGTACGGTATACACAAACCAATAAAAATCGTATCGAATCAAGTCGAGTAATTTAAGTTGTATATATTCGGTAACACTCATCACCAGCGTGTTCGTTCTGAACGGCTAATCGCCGGATTTAGAGGCACCCCATGACGCGGATAATATTTTGAAATTCCCTCTGAAATATCGCCTCGCCAAAACAAATACTACTGAAGTACTCTCTTATGTTTTGGTGAAAACATAATATTACGCATGGACTATACAGTGTAAGGCGATCATATATGTCAACGTACCGGTCATACTGTGGCTGGTATGCACGACAACCAACTAGTGGTTCGTACATAGTTAGAGAGTTGCATACATTACTTTATATGTGAGTATGTTTATTCTTTATTTCGCGGTATTCCGGCATTCGCCATTTATAACCCCCATAATATTTTATTTATATTATTAAAAAAACAAACATCAAAAATAAACAAGGAACAAATCTTGTACATAATCGATATCGATGAAAAACTGTTTATTTGAAAATACCCGTCACGGCAGTGCACGAGTATTAAATTAATCGTTGCTGGATTTAACCGCTCGTGTCAAAAATTAAATAAAATTGAAAAAGAGATTTGTGTGCTCAGTCTTAATAACAACCACTGTGACATTATATCCGTTATAGTTGTTAACAGAAAATGGGATCAACAACAGCATATTTCTGTCATGAATCGTAACATAGTGCTAACGAAAACATACGATTAAATATACAATGTCACGCTAGACAATCGGCCCCACCTGTGTAGGCCTCTACGCCGGGTCGATTGTGGTATATAGAGAGGAGACATTTTATGAAATTGTATGTATATTTCAGAAAGAACTATACGTTCGAGTTTACAGAAAGTTAAAAATAATGCAATAAGTCGTTTTGTATATAACTTGTACTGATTTACATTGTGACACGAAATTACTGAGTGTAAATTTTAAACGAGACAAGCATATCGAAATGAATTTATTTTGTAATGTTCACTTTGCACATTGGGATTAATTTAAATAATACCGCCCACCGCCTAATGTCGCATATAAATGTAGTACCTTCACTTTGACATATCTTACGGCGGGTTTTGTCACTATTCTAGTACGCCGCACCTGATGTACTAGAATGTGACGAGTATCGCAAAAGCCCTCAGCGTCGAGTGTATTGGCCGTTCTCGCGGGGCGTGACAAAACAATGAATCTATACATACATTTGAAATCCTTTAATTTCTAATTGTTGCTGATCTTGAATTAAAAATAATGACCGAGCAGACACCTGAACTATCCCCGAACAGTCAGCCATGTTGCGACGACCAGTACCGCTAGAGGGGGCGGGAGTGGGAGTTAGAATTAGAAATACAAGTGTAAAAATAGACTCCATCTACATGCAGAGCTATCGAAAAATTTATGTTTAAACAAGAGTACAAGAACGCTTGCATGTGAAGCACAACAAATCATCGTCTACACCTGCCCCTAAACTACTGGTCTGCCCTTCACACTTGGTACTATAATGCACAAAAATAATGGCACAACATAACGCAATGATTGTAAAATAAAATATTTTGCGTTGTTACTGGTAATGACTTTTGAACAATGGAATAAGACAATCATAGCTGATTACTGGGTTCTGATGTTTAACCGTGACTATTGCGTGCGTTATTCTATTTAGTTCGCAATGTTTTGTATTTTTATTCATAGACTTGTATTAGGTTGTGTTCGTGTGGATGTCACTTCTCTGATAAATTAAGCATGCCAAATCATTGTTATTATTTTGTATTTGCCTGCACATTGGTGTGTACATACTATATGGGATCTGCTCAGATTATTTGCCTAAAAAACATTCATAGATGTTACACTCGCATGAAATATAACTATCATTTATATTTCCTAAATGTTCAGTCTCACAGAGATAAAATGTTATGCAGGAGAGGCGTCAGGTTGTGGAACAGTTTGAGATCTTTAAATGTGTATGGAATATTTTTTTTTATTTAAATATCATTTAGTTGGTTTAATTAAGTAGTTTTAGCTTGTAAAGAATCCTTTGTGAGTTTATTAATTAAAAACGAGTTTTAAATGGTAGCACAAAATTGTGTAAATCAATATATTAATCAATCAATCAATCAAACCAACGACAAGCGCGTGCATGATTCTTGTGCTTGTCCATAATTGGATATGATACGATGGTAATGATTACTGGTACGACTTTGAGTACTAGTATAACACGATTACATGCATGAATTACAACATTAAAAGAGACATGGGGAGTAGTTGTTTACTGTAAAAACACTACACTGACACTACAATATATAAACTCGACGATGAGATATTGTAGTAATATTTCGATAATTGAAATTTCGTAGTTTTAGCGTAAGCTGGTCTTATGTGTATCACGGTTTGTAGTTTCATATCTGTACGTACCATATATTAATATGATTGGAACCTACCTACCTACCTAAGTTGGCACGTGTACCGTTGATCGGACGTGATCTTAGATCAATCGCCTCGTATGAATGACTGTGAATGACGACGAAAACACCCTAATTGTTTAGTTGGTCATTACAATTAAGTAGAATTCAGTTATCTAATTACCATTTTACCAATACTGACCTGTATTTCATCGTTGGTTTGACCGCAACGTATGCCACAAACAAACAAACAAACAAACAACAATTCAATGAATAAACACATACATCGTGACAATTAATGAATGACCGAGTGTCTTTATATAGTAGCATGTTAGTCACTGACATGTAAAGCAATACATCTGAACTGAATGAAACATACCTACACTGAACGCTTCACTGAAACTCCCTTTCACTATCACACCACGCTGAGCACTTCCGGAATCGGTAGATGTAAATGGCAAATCGGGCGCACGACACAGATTCCCATAAAATAATACGTACACTTAATCCCAGGACCAGTAAATCGTGCCCCTGATAATATTCCACGCTATTTCACCGAGGGGTCTCCAGGCGACAACGTTTTTATGGATCCAATCTGCCACGTCCGGGTGCGATTACTGAGAGAGAATGGAAACATGTGTGATTTACATACATATTAATTTCGCGCATGCTCAGTTTGTTGTTATTTTCACCACCTGTCACATTTGCAGTTGCAATGAAACCGTGACGTGGTGAAGCGTTTTACCGTGACGTCACGATTGATTGCTGATCACAGCGTTCTATTTTTAAAGAGCATTAATAACAAATACTCGAACGTTGCAAATATTTGGTTTTCGTACTCGACACATGTAGGCTTGGACGGAAATTACTAGTCGTACCCGCACATGTAAAATAATTTAACGATGGTGGTATGGTTTGCTATACAAATTAATTGATACTACCGGTACTTTTTTTGACATGGTAAAATACGTGAACCCGTGATCTGTACCACACCGGGGCCACGTTCATGGCTGTGTAAGACGTAACCCACCTGTGGAGCCCTGTGTTCATTGCCAGGAATTCGAATCGATTTCAAATGAATCTAGTGGGAATAAATTTTCACTGAAAAGACTTTGTGTGTGTTTTGTATGGAATTTATTTTCACTGAGTTTTGACGAGTTGAATTTAAAGTATAGGAAAACAGGTATATTTGCTGGATTTTATTTTCACTGAATTATTCCTTCAGCGAAAATAGCGAATATTAATTCCAAGGGAAAATATAAAGTATTCTACAGTAGTACATCACAAAAATGCGACCTCAATACTTAGCAGGGGCGGTTCCAGCAAAATGTATTGGGGTCCAAGCTTCACTTAAAATTTAAATGGCAGAGAAGCTATGCGTAATCCAGATGATATGAATGATCGTTTGGGGGAGCATCCCCCCCCGGTTCCTCCCCCTCTGGATCCGCCACTGATACCTAGGTATATTCAAATGGTGTAAGATTTCCCGTCGATGTTATTGATTTGCATTTCATTTGGAACCAAACAATATTTAGAGCGGGGTCAAACATTTGAAATCATGAGGGGTGGAGGGCGATGTCTTGTCTCTACATATTTATATTTGTGTTGAATTTTGCTAACGATTGTTCCTGTAACACCTTGTATGCATGTTTTCCTCTCGGTGTCTAGCTTGCATTTTTCATTCAACAAATCTTTCAGTCACCCCCTATGATTTTAATTTTGTCGACTTCTGGCCTTCAAATTCAAATTCATCGCATCCACTGTTTCGAATATCGTGTGCTTATATAGATCCGTAGAATACTGTAAAATACTTTATTTTCGCTTAGAATTCATTGTCGCTATTTTCGCTGAATGAATAATTCAGTGAAAATAAAATCCAGTGAATTTACCTTTTTTCCTATATTTTACATTCAACTAGTCAAAAATTCCATACAAAACACCCAAAAATCTTTTCAGTGAAAATTAATTCCAGCCAAAATAAAGTGTTCTACAGTAGTAGACGCGAGGAAGGGAGCGAATGGATCACTATTTAGGGAATAAGTCTGGTGGCTGACTCGCTCCCAGGTCAATTGAACAATATTACGCCAATATTAAGATATCTAGATCGAAGAGGTCTGAAACAATTAATTCCCTGACGCGACCAACCGTCAATTGAAAACAGGCATCAGTGTTATTGTAAACAAAAATAGCGTTCACACCGTTACAACAGTTGATTCCCTTGTTATGTTAATAGAACACAGATGGTGTTGCGTAAGTACGTTTTGATTAGCTATGTAAGCATGTAGTGCTTATGGTAACACATTTACCCGAAGGTTATGAAGTTGATTTATCCGAAAACATTTAAAATATATATTTTTTTAATAATTATACTATTGGATATGTGTTATTTTTACGAGAACTGACTAGAATTGATTTATATGGACCAGTAATTTAATATATAATAGTTGATAGAAATTCGGAAATCATGAATATCGGATTTGAGGTGTTGGACCATAGGAGGGACACCTGTAATATGAGGAATGTCCCTATTTGTATGATAATTTGTGCTAATATGCCCTATGTATGACCCCGAGATGTGATACCATCCTGTTACTTCCAGGGAGATTCAATAAGAATGTCCGGCTTTGCGATGCTCGGCTATGTTCTCCAAAATACAAGCAGTTGCAGTCCAAAACCAAATAAATATGATAACACTGTAGATATATTGAAAATTAGCGTCATCCAACACATATGATCACTAGCGAATGTAAGATTTTAGCATCGTAGCTTATTTCCATTATTGTGAAAAAAATATTCTTGATGTTCAACACTACCGCAGTGAGAAAATGTAAATTTCAAACCATCTGCGAATAATTAGTTTATAGTGTCTGTCACCAAAATACCTTTTTGTATTCTCTAAAAATAATTATTTATTTTGGCCACAGAACAGCCTATATCAATCAATACAATACTAAAGCTAATCTGAGTAAACCAGCTCTACGTACAAATTAATTAGTATATGCTCTTACATGTAGTGCAATAATAAAATTAATTAAAAGGGGAACCTGTTCTAGGAAAAATATATTTGTTATACCGTGTAGGACCATGCAATAACGATTTGAATCACAGAACGTATGATTTGAATCACAGAACGTATGATTTGATTTGTTAAACCGTATTTTGTCTATTACATATACTGGCAACATTCTGTAAAGTCAAACTTGGTCAGGATTATACATTGATTGACAATATTGAAATATTGGACGAAAAATAGACAAACGAAGCAGCCAACGATCGGTTAGCTAGCTATTATTTAAGTCAGTAAAATTGAACGAGTACTGGACACCGTGACGTACAGGGAGTGATCGCTAGTCTAGTCATGATTAGAGGGTGATCAGGAAACAGGTAGGTGTGTAGAATTGTAAATTAACGTACCAAACTGTTTCACTTAACATTAGCTAATATGCATTGTCACCCTCATTATAATCATAAGTAAGGTGAGACGGTGCATTGCTGTGTTAGTTGTTATTCCCGTCATTGGCCCTCACAAGTCAGTCGGATTTATATCGCCTCTGAGGGCGCATTTTAATCGATCCAATGATATTACTCGTATATATTTTCGATTCTATTACGTAGTAAACTCATTCAAAGTTGTATCAATGCTATTATTGTGTTATCCACATCGTCCCAGTAGTCTAAGTAAAATTAACTCTAAGGGATTTATTCACACTGTAAGCAGCATGATTTAGATCAATTCACCCCCTCCCCAAAGCGTGTATTATGGAAATAATAGATGATATTTTAATACGCATTTTAATATCCGAACTGTATGCAAATCAAGATAACCACGTCAACTTTTGCGAAGTATTAGGAAGTAACCTTGATTTTTAACTGATCACAACCGCATGTTATTCTCTAGAAAATTGTTTTTCACCGAGTCTTGACTGTGCGTAGCAATATCGTGTCAGAGTATGAGATCGCTTCCTAAGGCACTAGTAAATAAATAAAATCACGTGAAACTATTTCTTAATATAAATAAAACTTCATGATATATCTGGTATCAAAATAATCTATACAACTTTGAACCCATGTAATCTAATTACATTCACACTACAAGACGGGATTTATTCAGTTTTGTTGATTTTCTTTGGAGCCATCTAGTCAGACTATTTTATCTCCTAATAAAATAAATGATTTTTATTTGTCTGCTGGGAATTCGGATCAATGACCGAGTGCATACCGTAACTCGTTTCTGTTCAATAAGGTCGATTATTTTTTTTTTTATTTTATGTTGTCGTGGTCAGCTGATTACCAAAGGTCTGACTGAGCATGGTTTATTGGAAACATTCGGGGATACACAAGAGCATACGTAATTACACTGTGGTGTACACCTGATGGCTTGATTGATTGTGATTTTGTTTATCGAGAGTCGTCGTCTTGTGATCTAACCGACGCCGCGGCACAAAGCTAGAGGGTCATCTTATCTATGCGCGGGTGTTGACGTCATATCACGAGTTGTTCAGGGGTGGACCATTAGAAATTCTGGGGCGATAGACAAAGTGAAATATATGTACAGAAAAAAATCACGGTATCATGTAGAGATCGTACGTTACGGCCACGATAACAAAAACTTATAATTCACAAACACTGCTCTACTAAAAGTATATATGAGTATTCATTGGTAATTCTGTATGGAGAGTGCTTTGTTTGGAGAGGTATATGATATACCGGTAGTGTCATTTGCAGTATTGGATTCGTATAATAACTACAAATTATGAATGCAACCATAATCACGGCTATAGTGTCAATCAGTAAATAAATATATATAGTATGTAAAGTTCTAATAATTTATGTGAAATATATTCAGTAAAAGTAATTATACTTCTTGTGTAAGAAAATGGCTACGGTATTCAATACAAGAATAGCCACTGCGCGTTCTTCTTTTCCCTGACGTCACGTTTATTCTCGGCCAATTGAGAATGCGTCATACGTCACTGGGAATTCCCCCATTCCGTACTTGTTTACTGAGTATCAGTGTCATTACAAACTTGTTGGTCGAACCGCCAACGTCACCACGCTGCTTTTGCTTGAGTTATTATCGAGAATGTCACGTCATGTTACTATAGAAATATTGTGGTTGGTACTACTTATAGCAGAATTATCAGTAAGTATAACGGGATTTCCCGGCACACCTTAGAAGCGGTGAGAAACACATTAACCGTTCTAAATGTTGGTACTGCACACATTGCACGGACTTCGGTCTGCAGTGTCGCAATGGCGACGGAATTGATTTCAGACAACAATAGACTATTGTTTTTCGAGATTCACGTGACAAACTTGGTACGTGTTTAACCGAGTCCAAACGGTCGGGTCACGGTCTCCTTTCAATGGTTTAGGCACAGTTCCTTAAAAACTGAGCGCGAGATTTAGCGCTTTCCTATTCAATAGGGTGTGCAGTCATCGTCCTGTTTTCACATTTCTCTACTGGACTTATGTAAAACTCGGCAAATAGATTTCGTCATAATACTTAGGCGTGGCGAAAAAAAAAAACATATAAAAGATACATATAAAGATAACTATAAAACAAAAGTTGAAATTACTCGAGTATAACTGTTACCATATCAATAAACGAAACAATCAACGTCACTTTCTTTGGCAGGAATTCAAAGCAAGGGGTCACGCGGCGCAATTTGTATTATGTCATTGCTCAATTTACCCTTATTTATGGTGTTATCTACTCTTGAATACTAGTATTTGAGACACATATAAACATAGACCTTATGATATAACCGACAACAACCTATTCAGTTTACTGCAAGGACCCGCCCGAGTTGTGGGTGGGCGCTTTATTGTTGGCATGCATTTTCACTTCCCGTGGTACTGACTCATACACATACTGAATGTGTTCAAAGTTTAATTAAACATGTTATCCGTGGAATGCAAAGCATATTTCATGATCTACATTGTTGAGTTTGTGTTTGTGTCATGGTGGAATGTTAACCTGCGACTTTCGAATTCGTTTTTGGGCGCACCCGTGACTGACCCATAGACGAGCACGTGACTATTCAAACTTGATTCGGAAGATCTTGCGAAATCAGTGAACGATTATGGTCTCATATGATGTTCTGTTAGCACTGGGGGGGGGGTATATAATGCAAGATGGCGTGGTGGGTCAGTTTAAAATAACCACAGGGGTTTGTACAAACTTGCTGAAACACGTAATTGTGTACTGTGTTTTGTGGTCGGTCATTGGAACGCACCAATATGATTGACACTGAAATTATGGATTTGGCCTAAAGGTCCAAGCTCGCTTGGTTTCGCTGTACACTGTAGCTAAGCGCCTGGGTATTTCGTTTGCAATGAACGTCTCCCCATTACGTATCACTACCAAGGGAGACCGTGACCTCGACAACCACACAATGAACTTAGGGAAGAGTTTGGTATTTGAAGAGAAGCCAGTGAAACTGTAACGCCATCATAATAACGCTTGTCAGACACATTCTATACTTTATTTAGTTTATTAGAGACATAATTCTCCAAGCTCAATCTCCAGGATAATTTAAGATGACGCCACCGCTATCACATTCGTCTGATTCAATCACCCCCGGCCGGGCCCCACTTCCCTTCATCCAGAACATTTCGACTACTCCAATGTAGGAATAGTATAGCAATATGGTCTCACTGAATAACAATTAGAAATTATCTAGTTGCTTCATAATAACTTTGCTGGTGTATTGTGCCCAAATAATCACGAAACTCGGTCTTAACAGTATGTGACAGTATGATAATGAATTTGGTTAATTCAAAGTTGAATATTTTTCTTGTGTTCCCGTTACTCAAAATATACTTCAGCCATCACGCGAGACCATAGAATCTCACGTGCCACAAAATCTAAAAACGACGAATTACATAACACATTTTCATTCGTCAATATAAATGTCCGCCATGATTTCAAATTGCTCCGAATGTCGTTCATTGCAAGTGCATGCTTAAACTTTGACCTGGATCACCGTGACAGAGAGACTGTGCCTGGCTGGATGAAAGTTTTAATTATAATATGATTCATGTAATCCTTCCAGGTCAT